TTTTTTTTGGTTTTTCTCCGGTACCGGGAACCGAACTCATGACCTTGCACTTGCCAGGCAGGCGCTTTTGCCGCTGAGCTAAATCCCCAGCTCACACCCAGTGTGAGGCACTGGGTTCAACCCCTACTATGGAATAAAACAAAAAAGAACAAAGAATCATTATGAAAATGATGCCTACTTTAAAATTTTATTAGAAATTCAGAATGCATGCATATGCATATTCATTTACCAGTTTTCATGTGTGATTCTGTTCAGTGTTATTTATCCCTTTGCATGCATAAACCGTAACGGAGAGCAGCCATCTAGCTGGGAACATTTAATGTCTGATTGACGTCAGTCATTACTGTGTAGAAGGAATGGGGAGAATCAACTATCTTTTATTTTCAGTTATGTAGAGATTAACAATACCTATATTACTACTCTGTAAAACAACTCTACAAGGAGGAAATGTTATCCTCATTTTGGAAAGGGGACCTTCTAGAGGGTTTGCCTGAGATCCCATCTGCTAGCTTATTACTGAGGCAGGACTAGCAACTAGCTGTGGGTTATTCCAAATACAGAGACTCCACAAAGCTATTGCATCTCTTTTACAGTCTGCATGTATTTTAATCTTAGACTTCATGTATTGTCCATGGTGAGGAGTTGGTTTATGAATTCTGCAGTGTGAAATATTGTTTCTGGCCTCCTTTTATCATGAACATCATTACTGTTGGATAAACAGTGACAACACAATAAAGAATATAGCTAGCTTGAATCTGGGGGTTCCGGGGAGGGGCTCCTGGTATAATTCCAAAGGAGAATCTGAGTCCAGTATTGAGCTGGTCTTTTATGGAGAGAGTAGAGGGTTAGTGGGATGGGTGTAGGTGGAGTGATGCAGGGTGGGGTGGAATTGGGAGAGCGAGAACGGCTGAGCATGTGGCCATAGCAGAGGCCACTTTGACCTTGCAGGTGGGTGGGTGTGTCATGTCTTAGCAGAATGGGCGTTGTTCCTGGGCTTAGGTGGCGGCAGAGCTGCAGGATGTAGGAATGGGCTGTGATTGGTCAGAGCTCAGGAACTAAGGCAGCCAGTGGGGGTCAGATAGGGATCAGACTTACCAACTATGTACTGTGCTTTTTTTTTTTGGTACTGGGAATCAAACTCAGGACCTTGCACTTGCCAAGCAAGTGCTTATGCCACTGAGCTATATCCCCAGCCCTGTACTGTGCTTTTTGTTTTTCATCTTTTTTCTTCGTCTCCATAGAAGTCAGCATTGGCTTTATCTCAATGCTCTCTCACTTTTGTCTGTAGCTCACAGTTTACTTAGTCAGGTTAGCTTGTCTCTGAGCAAACACTCTCATTCTTGCGAAGTGCAGCCTGTCCCTACCCAGGAGCTCAGATTCAAAGCCATCATCTAGAAGGCAGACTTACTCATCATAAATGTGTTGCTATTATTTCCTGTTTTCTTCCTTTTCAAAAACTATGGCCTGTCCTCTAACTCTCCTGATTGTGATGCTTTCTTTTGCCCTAATGCTGCCATTCATCCCTTAGTGAATCAGCAGAGGTGAGATTAGGTTTAACAAGTTTTAACATAGCGTTGATGAGCCTTTCATGCTTTATGGATAGATGCTCCTGAAAAAAACGCGTCCTCTGGTTAGCAATACCAGCGACATACATTCCAACAGTAGTTAGCACTACCATCACTTTGCTTATCTCCCATAAGCTTTGGAAGTAACTCCTACTGACTTGAGTTTCCTTTCCAGAGGAAAGCAAAAGCTATCTGCAACTTCAGTGGTGCAGAAATGGAACAAGTCTCTGGCACATCTCTTTGTAAAGTCAGTTTCTGATTCTCATCTTGGCATTGTGTTACGTTTCCCATTAGAATTCCAATCTTTAGAGACTCTTTGACAACTCTTAGCAAAGTCTCTTAATAAGTTGCCTGATCTTCAGACTCTCAAGAGTTTATTTTTGTGAGCTGATTCTTTCATAATCTATTATGTTCATCTCTCTCTAGGCATAGTGAGTTGTTATCTTTAGCAGGTCTCTATTATACTTTCTCTTAGTGGGATGTATTTAAAAAACAGAGGAACCCTTAAGGAATGTTAATGAAACCATCTTTTGTTCTGATTGCTGCTGTGAGGACAAATTAGCCTGTTGATGCAGACTCAGAGAGAACAAACATGAACAAGAAAAATGTTTCAAAGTATTATATATTAGGTTAATAAAAGCCTCAGGCACTCCTTGAAAGGCCCAACCCTTACCAGCAGAGCAGCTCTGCTCATGCACATGTAGGTGTTTGAAGATGTGAGGAGGAAAAGAAAGAGAGGAGAAAGTGTTTTGTACATTTTTCTTTTTAAATTGAGAGGCAGGGGCTGGGGATTTAGCTCAGCAGCAAAGCGCCTGCCTGGCAAGCGCAAGGTCATGAGTTCGGTTTCCGGTACCGGAGAAAAACCAAAAAAAAATAAAATAAATTGAGAGGCAGTTTTGCATTGTGGTTACAGAGTATGGGTCTAGGTGTGAATCCTGCTACTCTGGACAAATTCTTTAACTTCTCTCTGTTTCAGTTTTGTGAGGTGGCTTTGTCCTTACCTTATCTAGTTTCTATGTAGTTTTCTATAGTTGTGAAGCTTAGGTTATGTGGTATGTGTAAAGCAGTTCAGTAATCCTAATACACAGTAATGGGAAATAAATAGTTTTTGCGTTTCTCTTTAAAGCCAATTTCCAAAGTAGTATTGTGGATCTTGGGCTTCCTGAGAGCACAAGGAGTTAAATATATTTTATTGATGAACTATATATTAGTAGGCCCATTTCTTTTTCCTTGAACAGTTGAAAATTGTTAGAGGGATAGTTGCTGCAAGTTTAGTGCATTCAGCTCCACAGGAAAAGCAAGCCAGTGTGCTGGAGCGAGTCTTGAATTCTCAATATATCACATTTCACCCAATAAATAAAGGAATAACAAACACGGCCATTCTTTTTCTCCTAGCCTTGCAACAGAATGGTTCACATTTGGACAGAGACAGTTTTTTATGTTTTTTCTTTTGTTGTTGTTATTTCTAGAATGACAACCTAGACGCTGGTATGAGGGTTTTTTTTTTTTTTTTTTTGGTACCAGGAATCGAACTCATGACTTTGCACTTGCTAGGAGGTGTGTGCTGCTGAGCTATATCCCCGGTTTTGGTATGAACTTGGCACTGAAGTCGCTGGTATAGCTGTGACTGCCAACTGGTATAACAGATATTGCACATTGAATTTCAACTAGAGCTTTTCTTGGAATCAGGACTGACCATGAAAGTTACTAACAAATACAGTGTTTACTCAGTATCCTTTTTAGAGAGGCCCTACCACAACTGGTTTTAGGTACATTAGCATTCCCTAGTATTCTTTCTAAGTCAACATCAGGAATGTATGAACAAGGACAGCAGCAATTTGGTGATAAAAAAAAGGTGTTCATGTGTCTGTCTTTTAAAAATTACCAGCCAGGCGTGGTGGAGCACGCCTGTGGTCCCAGCACTTGGGAGGCTGAGGCAGGAGGATCGTTGTGAGTTTGAGGCCAGCCTGGGCTACAAAGTGAGATCAAGGCAGCCTGAACTGCATAGGGAGACCCTGTTTCAAAAGAGCACAAAAAAAAAAAAAAAAAAAATTCCTAGGCGCAAATTACTTGGTGCAAGCTAGGCGGGAACTCGGCCAGAGGCCCAGGGTTGGTTTAATAAACACATTTGCCCAATGCCCAGTCTGAGCACTAAGGACTTTGCCCTTTCCCTCATTATCTCTTTATTCTTCTGTGTGTGTTTGCCTGCTTGGTTTTTTTTTTTTTTTTTTTTTCCTAAGTAAGCGTTTCACTATGCAGCTCAGGGCTGGCCTTGAACTCACTGTGTAGCCTAGGCTGGCCTTGAACTTGCAGCAGTCCTTCTGCCTCAGCTTCCTGAGTGCTGGGATTACAGGCATGTGCCACCACCCCAGGCCTGTTTTTCTATTACTCTATCCCTGATGTTTTCATCTCATGCTTGTTGTCCTTTTTCCACTACATTTTTTTCCCCATTGGCACCTTTCCCTGACTCTGCTTGTCCAGGGTGGAATAATCCACTGTAGAGAGGATAACTGGGGGCTGGGGATTTAGCTCAGCGGCAAAAGCTCCTGCCTGGCAAGCGCAAGGTTGTGAGTTCAGTTCCCGGTACTGGAGAAAAACCAAAAACAAAAAAAAAAAAAAAAAAAAAAAAAGAGAGGATAACTGGACCTGTATGGTCAGAATTAGAAAATCCCTAAATCTTTTTCTCATAGGATCAAACACTGTCTTCAGCTAAAGGGAGCTAACTCATAGTGTGATCTGTGAGAATGCTGTTGCTCTTTTGGGTGGGTTATATTTTTAACGAGGAATTGCGGGACAGTTCACCCAATGCTAGCAACACATCACCAATCACTGTGACCATCAAAAATGCCTTCACCTATTTCTAACTCTGCCACACACAAAGTAGAGGTGTAACCACTGGTTTGGACCCACTGCCTGCTAGACAGTTAGAAACATACTGCCCATATGCTGAACTCAGCAGCTCATTATTAACTCAGTATGTAATTTGATAGAGCATCTTAATTGCCAAAGTCTTTGTGTCTAGGTAAAACCTAGCTATTAAAGCCACAAAAGTTGTACCATTTGAGCCTATACCAGCCACTTTTTATTTTTCAAAATCTACCATGTTAGGAAATCTAAGGTATCTTTTGGCAGGCTTTGCATATGTATATGAAATATTTTTTTAAGGGAAATATTAGGTTTTCATAAAGTTACTGGTTTATGAAATTAGTATGTACACATGAGCTTTAATTTTCTCAAAATATACTCATTTTTAATTTACAGGATTAAAGTATCTCTAAAAATGATTTTAAAACATAATATGAAGCACATGTACACTTTAGAATCTCTTGTACTAGTGATTTTTATATTTTTGCATATTAACAGTTTGATGTTAGAGTTTGCTAATGTTATACAACTAATTAAGTTATGAAGTATTTTATTTCTTTTATTTTTCAGAGAAAGAGTTTTGAAGAAAGCTGGGCATAGTATACTCAGCCAAACCAAACAGAAGAGAAACAGAAAAAGAAACAAAAAGCATAAGAGCCTTAGTGAAGTCATGGTTAAAAACTCATTTGAAGCCTTAAATTATCTTACACCAGAAGATGAGGACCCAGTTCCAAGTGAAAAAGAAGATTTTGAAGAGACAAAAGGAGAATCAGTTTGTCCCTCAACTAGTGGCTTGCAGAATGAACGAGAGGATTTTGTGAATGGCTATAAAGAAAATAGTTGGAAAAACCTAGATCCTGAAGATAGTTTTCCAGATGTTGTACCTACAGCTGAGCTGGACAGCTCGTCAAAGAATTCCTTCCCTAGGGAAGATGATGACTTGTCATCAACGCCAAATGTTTCTCGTCTAGCAGGGACTCAGAATCTCTCCTGTGTAACAAGGAATGACTGCTCTGGCGTGAAGGTAGAAAAGCGTAGAGGAAATAGGCATCACTTGACAGTAGATAGCCATGACCTACTTGCTGAAACCCCACGTTCATTTAGGAAGAAGAGAGATAAAAGTCTCTCAAATGAACCAGTCCCATGCTATCAGCGTACATCTAGAACTGCAGATGTTTTAAGAGAAGAACAAGAAGACAAAACTAAGAACAATTATTGGGCTTTTTTCTCAACCAATTCATCTAATGAAGAATTACAGCTAGGCCCTGACAGACAACCCTATTTTGGTAGCTGGCCTGAGGGAACTCATACGTTTGTATGTGAACAAAGACCAAAGAAAGATAGATCACGTAAACTGACCTGTCCTGACAGCAGGGAACAAATGATTAAATTGATTTCTACTTCTGAAGGAGCATCAGGACCAGGAAGCAGTCCAGAAATATCGATAGAGAAGAAGCAACTGATAGAAATTGAAGATTTGTCATCTTCACCTGAAACTACAGATTCATTCATAGAAACAGAAGCAAATATATCCAGAAGCCCTTTACTTCAATTGGATATCCCAGAGGGTGCCTCAGAGCCAACAGAGAATGACGAAAAGATACAGAAAAGGATTTTCAATTTGACACTCAACTTTAACTCACTGGAACAGAGTAATATCCATGCAAAAGAAAGGGAGAGATGTGGCCTATTAACAGAAAACTGTGAACTAAGCAGTATTTTGGGAAAAAACGATAAAATTTCAGAAATAAATAACGAAGAGGAGATCAAGCAAAAAGTTTCGGCTTTCAATCATCAACCATTATGGTTTTCCCTTGCTGTCATCAGAGATTCCCCTCTAAATATTGGTGGACAGTTTTATCCTCATTACCTGTCACTTAACAGACCGGGACCCACTCTATATTTTTACAAATACCCTGTTCCTTCTCTTGCGCTACATTACATATCTAGCTTTTGGCTAGTACTTTTTACCAACAAAAAAACATGTTTGACTTTCAAATCTCAGACAAGATTAGGTAATAAACTAAATGATGGAGGGTTTATTTCTTCAGAAATTTTGGGTGGCCGCCAGCCTCCTGCTTGGTGCTCACAATTTAACGACAAGCTTAAGAGACAGGAAGACTCTAAGCCACTGCAATGCTTCCCTACCAAGGACAGACAAGATTTAATAAGCACCGATTTTAATTTCCTTGGGCTACCATTATCACAAGGCTTTGCCTTTCAACTAGGAAATGTTTTCGGATCTCCTGGAGTTCCAATGGGTAAATTGTTTTCACTTACTAAATATAAATTATTGAGGTGTTTCTACCTGGTATTAATCATGTCATGAAATGTATTGATCTTGGGGGCTGGGGATTCAGCTCAGTGGCACAGCGCCTGCCTGGCAAGCGCAAGGTCGTGAGTTCGATTCCCAATACTGGAAAGAAACCCCCCCAAAAAAAGAGAGAAAGAAATTATTGACCTTGTGATATCTTTTAAGAGTAAAAGGACCCATAATGAATAGTGCTTGTTTTATTATTTTTATTTTATTTTATTTTTTATTTTTCTGGTTTTTTGAGATAGTCTCACTATGCAGTTCAGCTGATCTTGTACTCACTATGTAGCTGAGGCTGGCCTCACAGTGATCCTCCTGGCTCAGCCTCCCAAGTGGCTGGGATTTCAGGTGTGCACCACCACGCCTGGCTGTTTTTTTTATTTTTAAAGCTCCTCCTTATGTTACCACCAATAGATCTGTGTGTGTGTGTGTGTGTGTGTGTGTGTGTAAGAGAGAGAGAGAGACAGATACTAGGCATTTTTTTTTTTTTGGTTTTTCTCCGGTACTGGGAACCGAACTCACGACCTTGCGCTTGCCAGGCAGGCGCTTTGCCGCTGAGCTAAATCCCCAGCCCCGATACTAGGCATTGAATCCAGGGCCTTTGCACTGAGCTACATCCCAGCCTTTTTTACCTTTTATTTGGAGACAGGGTCTTACTAAGTTGGTCGGGCTGGGCTTGAATTTATGATCCTTCTGACTTACCTCCCAGAGTGTGAGATTATAGGCCTGTGTGGTCAGGGCTGGCTGACCTTATCTTCTTAAATGTAACTGTGGACACAGAATACTTGGACCCGCCATTTAAGTGGACATGAGGAGGAGTGAAGGGTGAGAGACGTGACAGTGATAGAAACGGGCCACTATTTTTCAGACTTGTGACTTACTGCCTTGCTCTTGTTTGTCACATGGCCCTTTCTTTTCTCATTCATGATTTTGGCTCCGAGATAAGAATTAGTAAATGGGAAATAGTAAATAATAAATGGTGAAAAAAATCAGAAATCAATTTATTCTGTAAAGATTGTCTGAGGAGGAAAGGTACAAAAGAGATTAGGGAAGAGTCCAACGAGTTCACTGTGAAAGGTTCCTCAGGCCCTCCAGAACACTGTTCTTCTGGAAATAAAAAATCCACCTGAGATTAAAACAGGTGAATATTTTAAGTAAATTTTTTCTTAATAGTATGCATGTTTCAAGTGCTAAAGATCCTAAAAAAGAAACAGAGTTTATATCTCAACTTTTCCTTCTCTGTGATTCAGCGGTTGATACTTCTCAGGCGTCTTCCCTTTGGATTTGAGAACCGTGAAGCCAAATTCTGACCCTGAAGTTCTGGGTCTTTCTGATATCTGCACCTAGCAGGGCTCCCCAGCCCTGCTCTCTCAAAGCTTGTCCCCCGCTAGCTTTTCACTTCACCCCTAAAGTCTAACATTCTGGACAAACTTGTTCCCTGGAGCTCAGATCCAAGGCTGGCTAACTTCCTTGGGCCAGGGAGTCATAATTATTCATCTATTTTGGGGATCTTGATGCCGTATTTATCATATTTGTAAACTTTGTGAATAATCACGTCTCAACTATTTGCTGCAATTTTCCATCTATTTTAAAGTATGTGGAAGAAAAACCTCTTCCCAAAAAATTAAAATGCATTTGTTGCGGGAATTTTAAGTACTGAAGACATTTTAGGTCAGAGATGTTAGTCCAAGATTCAAATTCTGAAATTATTTTCAAAAGTTTTTGTATGTCATTTTGTGTCCTTTTCTGGAAAGTACATAGATTACTTTATCTTCTTAGGGGGGTCCATGACCCAAAAAGATTAACAATCACTGTTGTACCTCAGCACCAGAAGGCACAAAGGCACTGGTGTAAAACGATTCTAAGCTTCCTCCCTTGAATGGACAATGCCATCCTAATCCACAGTGATCAAGCGCCCATTAATTAAACTTCGGAAAGCTTTTTAAAGGAAACATCTCATTCATCAAATGGTTTACCTTCTAAATGCGGAGACAGGACTAACACAAAATAAAATTGCCACACACAGAAAATATAAATGACAATTAATAAATATTTTATGAGTGAGGTTAGCAGTGTAAAGGGGTTGTTGGAGAGCATGTGGGTTGTGTTTTGTATGGGCTGGCTTCAGTATGGGAGTGAAGTAGATGCAGTGTTTATACAAAGGGGAAGGAATGTGGCTTAAAAAGCGGGGGGATTCACATTTGGAACTTGCCTATATTAAAAAAGGAAAGGAGCTGAGCGTAAGTGCAGGCTGTGAATCAGGCTGGCGTGGACAATAAGCCAATCCCTGGTGTACCACTGGTGGCTTTGTAAACAAGGCAGGCATCTCCAACTATTAGGAACTCAAAGTATTAGGAACTCTGCTTACCAAGATTTTATAATAGAGCCATATATAGTACATAAAAAAACCAAGCTACACATAACTGTAGGACTCTGTGAGTATAGGAAAAATACTTTTTTGTGGTTTGGTACAGCTGATGTCGTATATTACAGTTGTGTGTTAGGACTTGTTTGTGAGCATCTTAGTTGTGAGGAGTTAAGCCCTTTATTTTTTTAATTTTTTTTTTTTCCAGTACCGGGAATTGAACTCACGACCTGGTGCTTGCCAGGCAGGCGCTGTGCTGCTGAGCTAAATCCCCAGCCCTGAGTTAAGCCGTTTAGACACTCATATGTGCAAAGAGCAATTTGTAGGAAGCTCAGACTTCTTGAGTTGCAGTGTTTCATCCATGTCACAGGAATGGATAACTAAATTTTATAATTGTGACAATACTACTTGAAGTTATTAATATAAGGTATAGATTGATATGTATAAATTTTTATGCTTATATGAGGATATGAACTATGATACAAATAATTTTACCTATTTAAAAGGCTTTTCATTGAGTTTGGATACTGTTGGCTAATAGAGACAGGAGACAAACTCCTATGTTAACCATCACTGAAATGTTTTCCAAACCAGACTTTTTTTTTTTGAGACAGGATCTCACTATGCAGTTCAGGGGCTGAGCTTGAACTCACTATGTACAGGCTGGCCTTAAACTTGAAGTGATCCTCTTGCCTCAGCCTCCTGAGTTCTGGGATTACAGGCATGTGCCACCACACCTGGCTCAGATTTTTAACATTATAGCAGCTAGATATTGTATTTGCTTATCTTCACATTTAGGGTGAAAATCTGTGTGAAATTAGAAACACAACTTCTTCCTCCTTTTTCCCACAGAATCCTTGTTGCCTGATGACTGTGTGATTCCCCTTGACTGGAAAACACTGAAGATGATCTTTTTGCAATGGAAGATGTCAGCAGAGGTACATTTTTTATGGCTTTCAGAGAAACTGCTCTGAGTTTCTTTAAAAATAAAGTTGGAGAAAATCTGTTCATCAAACTTAAAAGACAAGTGCTACATACTTTATATTAAAGTAGAAAATACTGGAGAGAAAGAGGATTATTTTTAAAAATTAGAAAAAGAATATTTGTGGCTAGGTAGGTAATATTTACATATTTTCTTTCAATTAGTTCCAAGAGAAAGCTGCATCTGGTTTTTTTTTTTCTTTTTTTTAAGATGGAATACAACATTTTTATTTTTTTCTTTAATTACGTTTATTGGCACATTTTAGGTATACATAATGATCACATTTATCATAGGGAATTTGTACCTGTACACAACACAACTTTATTCTTTTTTTTTCCCATTTCCCTACCCTCCCTTCCCCTCCTTATTTACAGAAGCTTTGTTTCTATTTTTCCCTTCTTTTCTCATCTTTTTTTGGGGGGGATGAGACAAGGTATCACTATGTAGTCCATGCTGGCCTTGAACTCACTATGTAGCCCAGGCTGGCCTTAAACTCATGGTGGTCTTCCTGCCTCAGCCTCCTGAGTGCTGGGATTATAGGCATGTGCCTCCGCACCTGTCCTCATCATTTTTTTCTCTTTTGCATCTGGTTTTCTAATCTTGTTAAAATGAACTGACACTGTGGTTGACTCAGGGGTCCACTTTAGCAGAGTCCTTTATTTTTCATTGCATTTTTCTCCTGTCCAGTTCTCAATCTTACCATGTTATGATAAAGTAACAGCTATAAATTAGATTTATATATACTTGACTTGGAAGCATCTTGTTGGTGTGACCTGTTGGTCCATAGTGAAGGACATAGCTGTTTTTGAGGGTTGTTCATTTTCTATGTGATTGGAAGAGGATTGGCTTGAACCTTTAGAAAGATAAATAGATGGAAACTCTGGACAAGTCAGTGTAATGGGGTGTCTGGGGTTCTTCTGATCATGTTAACAATGATTTCAACGAGCCCAGAAACCGTACACTTTGAAATTGTGAAATGGAAGCTCAGTGGACATTACAGAACTAATACTTTAGGACAGTAGATATTTCTTACCTGTTTATACAGGTGCAACTGTAGATTTGTGTGTCCACACAGTAAAACCAAGTGTACACTTTAATAAACTTTTTATTTATCCTTATTCTGCGTGGAGATTAGAAGGTTATATATATACATACACACACACTCACATAGCAGTCCTTCAAATGTTCAAAATGACATTTATGGTGGGTGGTAAAGTGTGTCATTTTTAGGAAAATCTCTACATGAGTAAAATGACAGTGCAAACTTAATTCCATGTCAAATATTAATCATTATTTTATATATTTTAATTATAATTTTCAGAAAAAAACAGAAGATGACACTAGCTAGAACTGAGAATTCCTTGAACTGTAAGTATAAATTATTCCAGAGGTCTTTATATGATTAGAAGGAAGCTAACATTGACCTTATTTGATTGTAATAGCTCACATGTACCGCAGTTGAACAGTAAAATATAAAAAAAGTAGCTTGTTACCATAGCAACCCTGTGTGCTATTGTACATGTGATGGTTTTATTTCCTTTAAATGTAGATCTCTTTTTGTGAAATAAACAAAGCTTAGATTGTTGCTCCCAGATTTATTTTCCCCCTTTATTGGTTAGAACATATTTGAGAACATTCTGATAACACAATTCATGAGAATTTTCCTCTGGGTTGGTATTTGACTGGGGCTACGAATTAAGGATGTAGATTTTATTTAACTGCTGTGTGAAGGGATTCTGTAGGAAAAGAGGCAAAACATATAGACACATTCATTTTATATTTTAAACTTGACATCAAGCTGACATTAAAATAAACACATTGCACTTTTTCCCCCGAACGCCTAAATTATGAAATAAACACAGCTGTTGCAATTTCAGCGTATAAGTGTCTGCATTTGGTAAGAATTGAATGCACAGTGCATTTACCGTATGTTTTCTTTCTTTAACTCATTTCTAAGAATATTGTGTTTCTGTTTCTCAATGAGAAATACATATATTCCCAGTAAAAATATTTTTGCTACTTTTAAACCTTCTGCTGAAAGAAGAGGGACGAGGAAGGAAGATTTGGTAGAATAGTTGAGAATTTTGGAGGGACCACTAGAAAATGTGGGATAAATACGGTACAGGAAGAGCTGAGAAGCTATAAGGAATTCTACAGAAAGGAGGTGAAGGCATTCATTCATGTAACAAATACGTATCGAGTTGCCTCGTGTCAGGCATTGTTTCACACACTAAGGAGATGGCAGTGAAAACCTTCCCGCCACCTGGAATTTATATTATAGGGATGGAAGTTAGGCAGGGAGTGCCGCCCCACCTCACCCCCACGCAGTAGCCCCAGTGTGAGGCGACACCAGCACAAGCAGCAATAAGCATAGCTATTTAGACAAAGACACAATTGAAGTGTCTTTTCTGCCCGCTAAATTTCTATATTTTACGTCAGGATATTCTGGATTATAATGTACGTTTTGGTGTTGCTCTTCCACATGAACTCTAAACTGCCCGTAAAGACCCGGGCTTCTCACCAAGCAGTGTGTCTCTAATTCTTAAGCTGTCTTTATTTGGACATTTTTGAGTGTGTGTGTTGCAGCCAAACTCGGGTTTTTTACAGTTATTTTGAGGAAGGGTCTCCTCATTTTGTGTTTGGCATAATGTACTGACCAGTAAGTCTTAAGGAGTAAATAACAATTAGAAAGAAGGAACGGGCAGAAGAGTCTGTTCGGCTCTGGGCGACACAAAGCCCTGCCTAGTTCAAAATACTTCCCCTGCTGGCTGCCAAGGCGTTAGTTAGTAGTGCAGCACATCTTTGTGGAGGTAGGGAGCCAGGAGAACGGGCTCCTGTCGGAGAGCCACTGCTGCCTGCCTGCATGACTTTAAACCAGTTACCTTCTCTAAACAAATTACTCTCGCAGAGCCTCCATTGCTTCACCTATACAAAACCGGGTTTATAATACCACCCTGTCATGAGATATTAAATGAGGATTAAATGAAATAACTTGTGCAAAGTACTTAGCATAATACCTGAGAAATAACAGGCTCTTAATAAGGGTTAATTCTCTTCATCTAAGTACTTCCTTGGGCTTTAAAAAGCGTTGCTGTTGAAATGCCCCTGAAAAGCAGAAATTGGTGTGATCTAGAAAGAGGAATATATTGATCCAGGAAGCTTGTTAACACATTTGCATGAATTAGTGTAATTATTATTAACCGTTTGTAATGTAAATAGCTGGACCCTAGGAAATGGGATACAGAGACGGGAATTTGAGAACTGACCAGGGGCATAGGCTCTTGGATGAGGCAGGACCAGGCGGAATGTGGACTGAAGCACAGTTGGAATCCTAGATGCCGAGGGGGTCACCTGACTAGAAGAGCGAAGAGTGGGAACCCGGAAACCGACTCTATCCTGTCACCATTTTGTCTGGACTGTCTGGGTTGTGTTTCTTTTTAGTTGAGTTGTCTGATCTCCATGGTGCTGCTGAAAATCCCGGTCCTCAAGCAAAGTCAGCGTGCTCTGTGCAGACCCAAAAGATTCTTTCCAGGGATGTGCCCTTTGGATGCTAAAGCTGGTTTGGGTAATCTGTTTAAGTGTTATCTGAATAATAACAAACTCGACAGAAGAGGTACAGTTGAAACATCATGTTACCTAATTTAAAGGTATTTGTATTTTATTTTGTTTTATAGAAGAAAATAAGGTATGGAACACTTACGTGGCTTGTTTTTTTGATCGCCTTAAGTTTGGAAGGGTAGTCCATAGATCCAAGTATTGGTCTGATTGCATTTCTAGAATTGTGAAATCCAAAAGGCTTTGAAGTGTTTCTCAATTTTTATTGTGGTAAAATACACAATAAAACTTACCATCTTAACCATTCTCATGTGTATTATAAATGCGTTCGTAACGTCCCACCACGACCACTGTCCGTTGCTAGAACTCTTCTTATTTTGTAAAATGTAGCTCTGTACTCAGTGTGTATTAACTTACCACTTCCCTTTCCCTTCGCCTCTGGAAACCACTGTTTTGTTTTTTAGTTTGTGATTCAAACTATAGTAAGTTGGAAGCTAAGCCTGACTCCAACAGGATGTTATTTTACTCCTTATTGTTCCAGTTGTGTATGTGTGTTCGGACATTTCCTTGCAGAAATATTAATATAGTCAGTTACGAGGGGCTGCCCAGACTCCAGGCAAAATGGAAGGTAATATGTATAATCACACTTTTGTACTGCAACAAACACTTTCTGCATTCTGAAACGTATCTGACCTTCAGGGTTTTGGTTAAGGATTGTGGAATATGTAGTGTATTGTTTTGCTCTTTAATTCTGTTTTACCTTAGTTATATTTAAAATATAACAATTCATGTTTGAAAAATATAAATTAAAGAATGATTGTCTACTCACTATTTGCAGCGTCCACCTTTCATTAATCCCCCCTTTTCAGAAAGGGTGCCCCACCTGTCTTAAGCCCTTCCTCACAGATCTTATGTTTTACCTTCTCCAGGAAAGAACCCTGTGGGCATAGGGGAGGAAACGTTCATTTCTTTCTTTTGGGGCTGGAGGAGACAGTGGTGCGGGGGATTGAACGCGTGGCCTCACGGGAGCTCTGCACAGAGCAACCTCAGCTCAGCGTCTCTTTCTTAAACAGACTTAGCGCTGACCTTTCTGTGTAAGCCCTGCCTCTAAACCCAGGTCATTCAGTGCCTGGATTCAGGGTTATGTGTACAAATTGTATTTCTTGGCTGTCTGTAATTCAGGTATCTTTTTGTTAAAATTCGTCAGTACTTGGCTGGTAGTCTTCAATTTCCAGAGTTCTGTCGCTGTGATTTTTCTCTCTTATAGTTTGTGCTTGAAATAAAAATAACATAGCAAGCCCTGCCTCCCAAAAGGAGGCAACCTCCTTTACATTTTATGTGTAGTTGTAAGAGGGGGTGGAAAGTAAATGCTCGTGTTCAATCAGCCGTTGTTATTGGGAGTTTAGAATGTAGTGCTGTATTTAAAATAGCGCAGTGTTTTCCTCCTGTTCATCTTGCACAGTTAAAAATGGTTTGCACACAGCATACTTGGATCATTCCTCCGTCATCATCCCGCGTGCCCCACTCTCCCCCCGGTTTTACATTAGGGGGTCGGTGTATGTGATGTATTTGGTTGTATTCAGCCCTCCTTTTACCCGCTTGCTGTCGCCTTCTTCCCGTCCTTCCAGGGATTAGATCTTGCTGTGAGACTGTAGGTTTCTGCTGGTCTGCAGGGTGTGACTACGCTGTAGAACCCTAGAGCTGTTGTGAAACTAGCCTAGCCTGTGGCACAGGGTGAGTCGTTTCACCACAGGTCCGACTGGAATTACAGCGCTGACATAGTCGGTAGGACTTTCCTTCCTGTTCCCTTTCCTCTAACCTCTTTGCTTCCCTCCCCCTTCTTTCTCTCTCCCTCTGTCTCTGTGTCTGTCTGTGTCAGCCTGTCTGTCTGTCTCTCTCTAGTACTGACGCAGGGCCTCTGCATGCTAGACACGTGCCCTACCACTGAGCCAGCCTTCCTTGTGAAAGACACAGTCTTGCTACATTGCTCAGGCTGGCTTCAAACTGATAATCATGTGACTCCGATGAGCAGCTGAGATTACAAGTGTGGGATACCTGGCTTCTTCCTGCTGCTTAACACCTTCCTCAGGCTTCCGGAGAAAAGACAAAGAGCCAGGAGGAGGCCGAGCTAAGGAGAGAGGGAGAGCAGACAGCCTCGCCAGGGAGAGGATTCTGGCATGTGGCAAATGCTTGCTTGCTTGGGGGCCATCAACAGCAAAAGAGTATTTAAGAGTCGGTGTGATGTGGGCAGTGACCCATTTTGAGCACCTTTATACCGGGTTCCACGCAAATAGCTACAAAGACTTGCGCCTGAGTTCCAGAATGCCTGGCTTTTCTGCAACCACCTTTCGTCTTTACTGTTTGCCCCGCATTTCTAGTGTGGAACTTTTTCCAAGCTTGGGCTGCTGTCCCACCCTCTCAGGCCCCGCCTTTGAAGTTTATACCAAGCGTCCCTACGCGTAGTTGCAAATATTAGCAGCTGTGAAAACAGGATGCAGTGGTCCTTGCCTTGGCGAAGTGTCTGCCAGCAAAGAGTGAGGGTGAGGTACGGAGCACAGGAATTAGGGGTCGGGTGACGTGCGGTGGAATCAGGCTTGTCCAGAGGATGTTTTTGTGTGGGCAGATTTATCCAGATTTGTGTAGCTTTTATTTTTCCACACCTTGTCAGACAGTAATAATTAGAGAAATGTTTGGATGTTTCTTTATTTACCAAAAATTATTTACAAGATTACTTTCTTTCCCTCCCTCCCTGTTTTTTCTTTTTTTTTAATTTTATTTTTTGGAGAGAAGTTCTCACTATGTTGCCGAGGCTAGTTTTAAACTTCTGGGTTCAGGCGACCTTCCTGCCTTACCTCCTGAGTAGCTGGAACTATAGATGCATGCCACCACACCTGGCTTTCATATTATTATATCTGTCATAAAGAAACGATGTCCATCTGGACATGGTGGCATAGGCCTGTAATCCCAGCACTTGAGGCCAGCCTGGGCTACACAAGCAAGTTCAAGGCCAGCCTGCACTACATAGTGAGACCCTGCCTCAAAAAAAACAAAACAAAAAAAAAAAAGGAAGAAAGGACAGAGAGGATGTCCATCATGTTTCTAATGCAGCAAAATGAGATTGAGCTGGTGTCACATGATAAAAAAATGGAATGGAAATCTAAAGTTGAAAAGTTGTGGCATTTCATTTATCCTAGGGGTCCTCTGACGCAGAGGTAGGCCTCTGGAACTGTCACCTAGTAGGACCGTAGGATTATCCCTGGGATCTAAGCACAGCTAACAGCAAGACGACTCTCAGATCTGTCCCTAGATTACTTACTCTGTTTACTGCTGACAATATTGCTTTCTTGTTCAGTCTTACTCTTTAGTAAATCCCAAGCTTGGGCTCGTCTAAGAAAGTAATTCAAGTCCCCAGACAATTATTGGGCATCTTCTGAGCGTCAGGCCTTGTAGTAGATCCTTGGCCTTTTCTTGGAAAAGAATCAGACACTTTTCTTGTGCTTCAACTTACAGTGTGATAAAATAGATATACAAGAGTTAATTTCCAGCAGTATTTTTTTTGTACCAGGAATCAAACTCAGGATCTCGCGCTTGCCAGGCAGGCTCTGCGCCACTGAGCTGCACCCCCAGCCAAACAGTATGGTTCTGAGGGATCGACCTGGAAAGTAGACCTTGTTGACTTTTTATGTGGGGACTGCGCAAAGGCAAGTGTCCAGGGTCACTTTCCTGTGCTGCTGACCAAGTTCCGTTCTTTGAAACTGCCCCTCCTCCCAGAGTCCTTAACTGCTAGCGTTCTCAGGGCCCTGCCCTATCCTCTGTCTCTTCCTAGGGGCAAGGATTTCCACAGCCGTCTCTTCTGAGGAGCTGCTCATATCAAGTCCCTCCACCTGCCAGAGGCGCTGCAGGACTCTGCCAAAAACCTCATCCCCAAACCTGCACCGTCTTCCGCGGCCGTATCTCCCACTGCCGGGAATCCCCCAGGGAAGGAAACAGGAGTGGGCGGAGCTCTCACGCAGCACTGGCCAGTAGAAATATAACTCATACTTTTGAGAAGTCACCATAAAACAGTAAAAAGAAACAAGGAAAATTTCACAATCTATTAAAATAAATATAGCATCATTCAGTGTGTAATCAATATAAAATTACTGAGCTTTTTCATAATGAAGCTTTGAAATTTAGTGTGCGTTTTAATCTCAGTTTGGACAAGCCACATTTCCAGTGCTCAATAGCCGCATGTGACTTGTCGTCCCACACTGGACAGAGATTCTCTAGAATGGAAAAGGTAGTATTTGAGGCTGGGCAAAAACTCTTGTAAGAAGCGTGCCCTGGGGGTGTAGCGCAGTGGTCCCGCTCGTGCTTAGTCCACAGAGGGCCTGTGTTCATTCTCAGCACCTGGCAGGGGTGTGTGTGCTCAAAATAGGGATACACATCGTAAGTGTCACTATTGTTATAATTCATGTACTGTGTATTTTCCGTTCCTCATGGTTTCCCGATATTTAGAGTAACCTTTGCAATTCCACTGCTTTGTAGTGTTGATAAAAATCAAGAACGCACACTTCCTCCAGGCTGGAAAGGGATTTTCAAAGGAAAGTAGCTTATCATCCTCCCCCACCCCCACAGGGGCGTCCCAAGAAGAAGGTGAAATTCTCGACAGAGTCCCTTCCTAAAGATCAGCGTGAATCCCCTGCCCTGAAATTCCTGTTCACAACTGCCATACAGTAGGGGCTAGAAACAAAATTTATCTACTTTATACAATTATTATACTCAAACTCCCACGCGGGTTTTTTAGGATAAGCATTTTGTTTCCTTTTTTTTTTGTTTTTTTACCAGGAATCAAACTCAGGACCTTGAGTTTGCCAGGCAGGCGCTTGTGCCGCTGAGCCATGTCCCCGGCTAGGATGAGCACTTTGAACATTGTCTTTTAGTTCAGAACACAGAATCTTATCACTCATGTGTGTGAAATACTAGAATCACTATGGTGATCAACTGGTGGGTGCCACCAATTCCTGAAACTGAGAACCCCATTCCTTGTAAGTGGTTTCAGCAAATTCGGTTCCAGCACGTCCCGCCACTTTGGCATCTTCCCAGCGAGGCTGCCTCTTCCTGGGACAGCAGCTCGCTGCCCGGGCCACCGCCCCTACTACTACTCATGTCAGCCTGAGGCTTAGGGAGCGCTTTCTTTGGAGGAAGAAGACACAAAAAGTTACGCAGAGGCGATAAAGCTTTCTAAGAATATTTTTGGCGGCTGGTAAAGAAGGGGAAGAAAAGATACAGGCTCCAAAGCGTGGCAGCCCTTGGGACCACGCCGG